CCTAATTAAGATCTCCAACGGTCAGAAATGGGAAATTATAAATAGGGCTTTGCAATTTCTGATCGAGCTTTCTTCACTTTCGCTTCAATTCTTGAGCTTTTGCATACAGTAACTTTTGTTGTTGAATTTCCCTTGAAAACTTAAAATTTGTTCTTCGTGCATTGTTCGATTGCGGATTCTCGGTAAGCTTCACCTTTAACTTTTATTTTGTCATTTGTCCTGTATTCTTCGTTTCGCGTGATGGCATCAAAGGGAAAGGGTAAGGTGGTGGCGAGTTCTTCTAGTACCGAGTCAGTTCCCTTGGAGGTGTATCATGACTCGCAGCTGGTTGAATTGGCTTTTGAGTATTATCGGTGGGATCCGATGTTGGTAGGGCATTTGGATATTAAGCCCGATGACGAAGATGGTGATCGGGTGGTTGAAGAGAACGCGGCCGATATCGAGGTGCCTCACTGGAGGAGGCCAGTGAGGATGTGGCCTGATTCTGCGGTCGAATTTGAAGGCGAGCCAAGCATTTTGACCGATGCCGATGTAGTTATGCTTCGAGAGCAGATTCGGGTCCCACCCTCGGTGAAGATTTTTGTACCATATCCGGGGGAAAGAATAACTAGCCCTCCTCCGGGTTGTGTGGGAGTTTTTGTCGAGAGCCTGAGGTCGGGATTAAGGTTCTCTTTGCCAAATTTTATCACGGAGTACCTCCGGAGTTGGGGGTTACCGCTGTGTCAGATTACCCCTAATAGTTGGAAGAAGATAATCGGGTTAATGGTGCTGCTGCACGAGCAGAGCGAAGGGTTGCCGTCATGCGAGGAAATAAGGAGCATCTTCGCATTTAAAAAGAGTCCGAAAAGACATGTTGCGGAATCGTCGTTCTGTTTCTTTGCAGGAGCGAAACCACAACATGGTTTAAGAGTCGGTGAAATAATAACCGATATTCCAGAAACTCTCCATGGATTCTAGGAGGAGTGGTTATGGATTGGGGGAGAGTGGCAATCCGAGAGCTTTTTCCATGAACCTCGGATTGACGGGATGACGATTCCGATGTTAATTCATTCCGAAGCAAGTGAGTTTACTTCATTTTTCAATTCGGATATATCTTTCTGATTACGTTTTGTTCTGTGTACTAACAGGTCGGAACTTTTGCCCTTTGTAGAAAAAGAGACCAAGCAGAAGGAACCGAAGTTGAGCCCTGAGTTCGGTGGGAAATTAATCACACTCGCCGGCTTAGATAAGGAGGTTCGAGATTATCGCAAACTTGTGGTAGATTCAAAGCTTGAAGCTGCTGGTTTGTCTCCTGGAGTTTCCACTGTAAAATTTGACCCCGGTAAGGAACCTTCAATAGTTGTTGCTTTTATCAACGCTTCTATGCATGTAACATGATTGTCGATAACTCTGATTATTTATTTTTGTTTTGCTCGAATGCAGTATACTATCCGCTCCTCGGATTTCTGGGCTATAATTCCGTTAAGGAGGCGAAGGAATTCAGGCGTAAGTATCCTAACAAGGATCTGCAATCAAATTTGGCAAAAGTCGAGATTTGCGTTTAAACAACGTCATGAGGAGGGACTTAGTTCGCGCCTTGGTGAAAAGAACTGCTGGTCAGAAGAATTCTGGTAAAAAATCGACCGAAGTGGGGTCGAGTGCGACTTCGGCTGCTATTCCGGAAAGCCCGAGGTCTTTGCAAGAGGTGGCTACTAACGAGGTTCCACCAGTCGTGAATGCGGTCGCGATTAACCAGGCGGAGCCGGAACCTAATGTAGCTGGAACCGAGGTGGCGTTGGTTGAATTGTCGCATACCGCTGTTCAGGAAGAGGTGCCGGAGAAGTTACCCTCGTCTCCGAAGTCTGGGGAGTCTGCTCAGTTGGAAAGGAGAAAGAAGAGGAGATTGGTGAAGACAGCTGATGTGGGGGCTTCTTCTGGAGCAGAGAAGAGGTCGAAGAAAAAACACGACCCCGGTCATAAGTCTGTTGAGAAGAGGGTTGATGAGTCGCCACTATTTGAGAAGTCGTTTTTGTCGATTGATGATGAGAGAGCTGCCAAAGTGAAGGTGCCCGAAGGTGTCGTAGAGGAGTGGTTCACCACGTTCCAGTCAGTCAAATTCCCGCACATGTCTTCAAGAATTGATATGCCGGAGAATGCTAAAAATGCAGCAAGAGTGCCTTTGATGGTATGGGACCCGAGGTCCGAAGTGGGAGTTTCGTCCCTATCAAGCGTCGACAAGTTAAACTACGCTAAGGCGTGTTTGGGCCGGGCTTTAGTCAGTCTCGTTGCTGCTGGAGATGATCATAGCCGGATTGCGGCTCAACTGGATGGAAAGAGAGACACTATTGCTGCCCGGGATGTGATGATCGCCTCGCTGAGGGAGGAGTCGGCTAAAGCGGAGGCCGACTTGAAAGGTAAGATTTCTGAACAAGTTACTCAGTTGGAATTGGCGCAGGCTGAAATCTCGGCGCTGTCCGAGGAGAAAAGAGCTTTTGAGGCCGAGGTAGCCGATCTTAAGGCGCGCCTCGCCTTGGCTGAGCAACATTCCAAAGCTTTAGAGGCCAAGGTGGAAGAGACAGAGAAAGCGCTGTCAGATAAGAAGGCGGGGCATGAAACAACTCGCAAAGAGTGTACCGAGGTCCGCGAGCTCGTAGGTCGGCAGAGGGATGTCCATCAGGCCGAGATGGCTAAACTCGAGAGAGAAAAGTCAGCATATGGAGAGTTCATGTATGAGAACGGCTTTCAAGCTGGAAAGGACTCAGTTGCTGTTGAACTGAAGTCTGGCGATGATGCTGAAGCTGAAGCTGTTGATGCCGGTGAGGACGATGAGGTCGGTGGGCCTGACCTCGAAATTGAGATGAACACCTGCCTGAATCTCCGATGGGTCATCGAGCGTTATGATGCGGGTTATTACGACATCGACGATATCTGTTTGTTCTTATTCTGCAAACTCGC